ATATCACTTAGTGGTAATTATTATAATTATAGTTTTATTGAATTTTATTAATAATTTTTATATCTTAATTAGATTATAAGAAGAATAAAAGATATATACTCTCCTGCCAAAACTTTACAATCATCTGACAATCATCCAATTATTTTTTGATAAATATTTAAATTCAAATCACAATTATTTATCACATATTTACTTAAATTTAAAACTTTTTTTTTAAAACAGAGAGTAAATTCTTCTCTAACTGATAAATGTAAAATAATCTCAATTTTCTATTAAATTTACTAAGAAAATAATATACAAGAGAGACTTATCTGATTTTGAATAAGAAATGATAATAGGACTTCACTTGGCTAGAAAAAGTGAAAGAGATATAGATAAGATAGTAAAGATAGGTAAAATCACTGCATATGATATTATATCAGCTTACAATAAAGATGGAAAGATGACAGTAGCATCTAGGACTGATAAACAGCCTATTCTAGATAAGCAAAATATTAGACAATTGATAAGGACTGTGAAGAAAAGTTGGAAAACAGTAATAGAAGAGATAATACATAAATTTGCATCTGAATTTAATATTTTGGTAAGTAAATATATAGTTTAACATATTCTTCATGAAGAAGAGTTTTACACTAGAGTTGGTATTTGTAAATCCTTTATTTCTGAAATAAATCATACAAGATATTTAAAATGATATGAAGAATGAAAATCTTGAAATAATGAATAGAATTCAATGATTTGAAGTGATGAGTTGAGATATTTAATATTTTAGAATAATTTTTGTCAATGGATTTGGTGCAGACCACATAAAAAATATGATGTTGATTATCTTATTCTGATAATAAAATCTGGTAATCAGAAAGTTATGGTATGGAGTTATTTTATGAGAAATATGATCAGTCCTTTAATCATAGTGAAGAGAAGACTGAATACTGAATTGTATAAAAACTTACTTAAAAGTTATTTATTACTATTTTATGAAAACTTAAATAGCAACTTACCATACTTTTTTCAAGATGACAATATACCATGTCATAGAATATATTTGATTGCTTCATGGAAAAAAGAAAATATAATTAATTGTCTTTGGTAGCCTGCATAGAGCCCAGATCTAAATCTAATTGAACATCTATGAGATATTCTGGAAAGACAGATTTATGTGAAAAGTTCTTATCTGAAAAATAGAAATGAGCTAGCTATAGCTCTGACAGAAGAGTGGTTAAATATTGACCAAACTATTCTAGAAAATCTCATTAATAGTATATCACATAGAGTTAATACTGTTATAAAAAGTAGAGATAATCTCATAAAATATTAACATCAAATAAATATACTTCAATATTTTCTGATTCTATGCATGTAAAATTGATATACATTTAATAAAGTGGTTGTAGAGTAAATTTGAATCAAAAATTGACACTACTTGTAGTAAATATGATGATCAGCATGAATAGTCATAAAATTTTGGCAGAAGAGTATATATGATTTTAATGTAATAACAGTTAAGAAAGTAATTTTCATGTCTTTGGAATGAATAACTTATCTCTGATTAATAATCAAAAAAATTTTAAGAAAATTTCTAAATGAAAAGTATTATTAGAAGTAACTAAATATTATAATAAGTTATTTTAACTTAGAAATGATAATACTAGCAATATTAACTATATTACTCATATTATCTTT